TGGACAAAGTCAGGTAGGCAGTTTAAAATACTAACTCCAAACCATGGTCAAAGAGTTATGAGATATACATACATACATACATACATACACACATAATCATACATACATATATATTCTTTTTATATCTATTTATATATATCCTTACTCCATCAAATCAGAACGTCATTGATTGTAAGGCATATTTTATGTATTACTAAGAAAATCATTGCCAATTAAAAACATTACAATGTTTTATCATCAATTTCAGAGGAGTTAAAATGTAGAAAGATAAAACACACCCTAAATTAAGAAAATGCAGTAAATTCCAAAGCAGAAAGATAGCATGACTGACTTTTAAAAATCCAAAATCTAAAATTTAATTATTTGGGAAGACCAACAGACGAACTTTGACAGGGTGAACTTAAGAAAAGAAGAGACAAGAAGAGGAGGGAGGGGGCAACGAAAAGCAAATACATCTGTAATCCCAATACTCAGGGGGCAGAGGCATTTGGATCTCTGAGTTTGCAGACAGCCTAGTATACACAGTGAGTTTCAGGACACTCAGGACTACATAGACCTTGTTTCAAAAATTAAATAAATATAACCACATATAGAGAAAAGTTCATATTTATAAGAGAAAATTGTATACCATATTACAATCAAAAATTAACTGAGGCCGGGCGATGGTGGCGCACGCCTTTAATCCCAGCACTCGGGGAGGCAGAGGCAGGCGGATCTCTGTGAGTTTGAGACCAGCCTGGTCTACAGAGCTAGTTCCAGGACAGGCTCCAAAGCCACAGAGAAACCCTGTCGAGGAAAAAAAATCCATTTTAAATTACATGTGAGGGTGAGAGAGGTGTGTATGCATGCCACGGACACATGTGAAGGTCGGAGGACAACCCTGTAGGGCCTGTTCCCTCCTCCCACTTTGGGGCTAGAGAGATGGCTCAGCGGTTAAGAGCACTGACTGCTCTTCCAGAGGTCCTGAGTTCAATTCCCAGCAACCACGTGGTGGCTCACAATCACCTATAATGAGATCTAGTGCCCTTTTCTGGCCTACAGGCAGGATACTATATAAATAAATAAATAAAATTTTAAAAAAATTAACTGAAAAAAAAAACCCATCAACGCTCTCCCAACAGAGCTATTTTGGCGCCGTTGCTAATAATTTTGAAAGGTTGGATCAAATAGATAGTTTCCTACTTTTTTTCTTTTTTTATTTTTTGAGACAGGGTTTCTCTGTGGCTTTGGAGCCTGTCCTGGAACTAGCTCTGTAGATCAGGCTGGTCTCAAACTCACAGAGATCCACCTGCCTCTGCCTCCCGAGTGCTGGGATTAAAGGCGTGCACCACCACCGCCAGGCTAGTTCCCTACTTTAAAAAAACTAACAAACAAACAAACTGTAAGATGGCTTCAGAGAATCAGAAAGCCCAAGTACAGAGTGTTAACGGGAGAAGTTTCCAACAATCTATGTAAGGACTCTACTAACCCTGAGTATCAGGAGTCTCCTCTAGAGAAGCCTTTCCTTTCCTGGTTTTCAAAATTGTTTCCGATTAGAAAAGGATAGATTTCCCCTTGAAGACCAAGCTACAGACAGCATTTTTTTTCATGTATTAAACTGACACAATAAAAAGAAAAGAAAAATAGACTTGAAAAGAAAATGCCTGTCTGGCATGTGGCACACACCTTTAATCTGGGAGGCACTCAGAGGCAGAGGTAGGTGGATCTCTGAGTTTGAGGCCAGCCTGGTCTACAGAGCTCCAGTACAGCCAGGGCTACAGAGAGACCCTGCCTTGAAAAATCAAAAAGAACAAGAACAAGAAGAAGGAAGAAGAAGGAGAGGAGGGCAACGAAAGCAACAGCAGCAGCATTAAGACATTGTTCAAAAACAACCTTTGCGTTGTACTTTGTACAGATATACAGATCTAGTTACCTGCCCTTCCAAGAAGGTATTACACAGCAACAATCAGAGCAAATGCACAAGTGTTTATGGCACAAGGACGTTCACCACAAAAACTACAAACTGAGCAGTGGGCAGCAGAGAAGACGGAACGGAGTTTGACAACTCCAGGAGAAGGGACGAGCCTCAGGACAGAAAAGCACATACAACATGAGGTGTCTGAGATGAGTACAGATTTTTTTTACACATGCCAAAAAGAGTGAGATACAGAGAAAAATATCTTTTAATGGATAATTATAGAGACTTTCTCCTCCTCCTCCCAATTCTGCTAATGAGCACACAATATTTTATGACTGGAAAACTTAGCAGTTGTCACTAGAATTTCATTTGCACAAATGTTATGAGACATATTAATAAGGCTCAGAAAACTAGAACAGAGGGCTTCAGCCTGGGTTCCCCCTGTGTGGGAGGATCTGCGTAAACCAGCAAGAGGCTTGCTGTGGACATCATGATCCATCTGGGCTGCAGCCTGGAAGCCCGTGTTCCTCACAGCCGAGGAGCCTGGGGCCCTCACAGCCCAGGAGACTGGGGTCATCAGAGCCTAGGTGTATGTAGAGAGCATCCTTGTTTCCAGCTCACCAGTGTTCCTATCCTGGAAAGCATCAATAGACTGTTCCAACCCAAGGAACCAACCAAAATGACTCCTTTACCCACGATCCCCACTGCTCCTGGAAACATCTCAACTAGAAACTGAAAAAACATCTTATTTGGCACTGAACATGTCACTTGGAAAAATAATAATATTTAAAATAAGCCAACAGAGACTCATACCTAGATAGGGAATACTGGGCACCATCTTCAGACTTCGGATGTAGTCCCGAGTTCGCTTGTAATTGTCTTCTTTGGACATCAGGTAGTCCAGCTTCTCAAAAGTGGTCTTGTCTTTACGATTCAAAAGCTGGAATGAAAAGAAATCAGACTATCTGTGAGGGAAAAAGCAATAAATCAGAAAGTCTGACAGGAGATGGGGCTGTAACCAAGGGCATGTGTGTCCACAGCATGTCAAACCCTGATGGAAGTAAAGACTTTCAAAGGCAGCATCAGTCTCCGTTCTTCCAGTCTCACACGGAAGATGCGCCCTGGAGCTACGCTGTCCACTCCCCACTCGATGCTAACTCCTTCAATACACACACAGCACTCATCTCTGTGGGGACAGATACTCCACAACAGCACAGGGCTCGGAGAATGAAGTAAACTGGTCATGTCCCCAGCAGGGTTATTCCAAAGCTCTAGCCAATCTCTTCCACAAAACACCTCGTGGTGAGAGACGCTATCAACTGCCGCAGGACTCAAGTGGACATGCCGTGAGGACATGGCTGTGCTGCAACTCAGGGCTCTCCTCCAGACTGCCCCACATCCTGGGTCACATCTCACACAAAGAACCTTCTTTTCCATAAGCAGTCATCTACACAGCACCTGACTAAGAGACTCAGGGTGAGCAAGCACACCAGAGATGAGAAGCAAACTCTGTGGTCACTGCACACTTGGTGTGTGAACCGGGGAGAGAAGATGGCTCCGTGTGCACACTGAACCTTCTGGAAGTCTGAAACCTGATGCTGAGGACTCACAGTGCAGCTATTCTTCACACTGGATCTAGTCTAGTGTTGTGAAATGGCAAGATGCCTCTTCTTGAGGAAAGAGGGGTTGGGGAGGGCCACCAGGATGTGTGGTTGGGGCACAGCATGAGACTAAGTGGGGATTTCTCCCAATTAGTTTCTGAAGTTGAAGGTCAATGATTAATGGCTAAAGTCCAAGAGTATAAATGAAGAGAGGCCTTAGACCTGATATGTCCTTGGCCAAGCTTGGTCTTGAGATTCCAATGGTCCATGTAAGGACCTTGACCAATAGACCTGCCATGTCCATCAGACTGAAGTAGGCCAGTGTCCAACAGCCCTTGTACAGCAGAGACAAGTGGAACAATGGCTGTCAGCACCAGAGAAACAGGGAAGGCAGTGCAGCTCCTGGAACCACAGCCTGCAAATCCCACTCTCTGGTGGTGCCTGGTGTCTGAGGGAGCCCCAGGCTGCTTGAGGATAGCTATATCAGATCCTTACTTCCTTGGTCTTTGGAGACAATAATGATTCGGCCATGAGAGAGAGCCCACTGATTTTAGGCAGTGACAGCAGGTATACATCATAGGAGAGGTAGAGGCTATTGTCATTCCCATCAGCTTCTCCAGTGCTGAAGCAGATGGAATGAGAAACAAGCTTTTATGCTCCCATGGAAACAATCAAGACACACAAGGGCAGGGACACTACACAGATGCTAGGAGCAGCTCTGCTTAACTGGCTTGCTTCAGGCTATTCATCACAGTAACAGTGGGCAGGAAATGATGCTGTCCTCCACTGCTGATGTGTGGGAAAGAACTGATGCATACAACTCTGCTGGACTGTGAACCAGAGACATAAAGGAGCCGGGAGTGCTGCCTGTATCTCAGGTTCACCATTATTAGGAGTAGGTGACTTGTCCATATATCTTTGGGACCCAGTGTTCTATGGAGAGGCTGAGCAGACATATTTTATAGCAGCGCAGCAAGTGGGTGAATAGAAATTGAGAACCCAAGGAATGGCAAGTGAATTATCAGCAAGAGAAGTATCATCAAGAAGAGCTACATACTGGGGCTGGAGAGAGATGGCTCCACGGTTCAGAACACTGGCTGCTATTGCAGAGGACACAGGTTTGTTTCCTAGCATCTATATGGCCACTCACAACCACCTGTAACTCTAGTCAAAAGGGATTGCAATGTCCTCTTCTGGCCACCCTGGCCACCAGGCATGCAAGAGGTGCACATACATGCAGATAAAGCTCCCATGCACATAAATTACATAGTATTTTTAATGCTGAAAAAAGGCATGTAGAGAGGTAGCATTTGATTCTTCTTGTTTTGTTTTTGTGACAGCGACTCACTATCTTGAACTTGGAACTCACTTTATGAAACAGGCTGGCCTCGAGCTCACAGAGAACCACCTACCTCTGCCCCCCAAGTGCTGGGATTAAAGGGATGTGCCACTATGCCCAGTGAGAGGCAGTATTTGAATTGGACGCTTGAGAAATCTGTCAGATGAATAATAATACACACCCGGAGCAGAAAACCACACGCCTTGTGAACTTGTGTGTCCCAGAGTGGAGTTAAGTGGGACTATCTTCCTTGTTATAGAAAGTTTTTTCGTTTGTTTTTTGGGTTTTGTTTGTTTGTTTGATTGGTTGGTTGGTTTTGGACAGGGTTTTTCTACGCAGCCCTGCCTGTCCTGGAATTCACAACGTAGAGCAGGTTGGCCTCACATTTACAGAGATCAACCTGTCTCTGCCTCCCAAGTACTGGGTTTAAAGGGATTTACACACCTCGATTTTTTTTTAACTGATGCAATCTAGAACCCCACTGACTTCTTCATATCATCTACATTCATCCAGATGTCAAACAAATCCTGATGCCTTCACTCAAACTGAGGCTGAGACATGCTGGCCCCTACCTACCAGCCTAACCAATACCAGTCTGAGTAGTGTGTCAGACTGTGGGGTGCTCCTCATACAGCCAGCCTGTCATCCTCCCTGGATCTACACACACTCAGAAAGGCTGAATCTTCCTAACTTCCCTCAGTGGCTCCAGTCTATGTCAACAAAGGAAATCAGGTTATGATCAGATTGCTCAAGAATAATTTATAAGTTGTTTTAAGATGAAGAAGTTCAGTAGATTTTACCATGATGCATTTGACAACTACATGAGAATTTCCTTTACTAAAATAAAGGAATGGACCAGATAAAAGAGGACACAGGACACAAGAGTCAGTGGGTCCTACTCAATAACAGTAAAAGGAATTCTAGGATTCCCGAAGAGCTGCAGGCCTTAAGAACAAACGCTCCACAGGGACCAGCTCAGCAGAAGACCTGCCTGGTAGCACATCTGTGGCACAAGGGATGGTATATGTAATAAAAATGAACAGCTTTAAGATTACATATGAATCTAGGGACTAGATGGCTAATTCAGTAAGGGGAACTTTTATACTTGTGTGTGAGGGGCATGTATATGCCACAGAATACATGTGTTTCTGGGATTGAACTCAAGTAATCAACTCAGTTGAATGTCTTTATCTGCTGAGCCAATTCACTGTTCTGGAACTTTAAAAAAAAAAAAAAGAATTGGAATGACCAGATAAAAAATTACTCAAGAAAGCAAAGAGTATTCCCGGTTTACCTCCTGACTGTACAGTACTGCCTGCTCACACAATGTTAGTCCTTAAGACCCTGATTACTCCTTTAACAAAAATGGCTGGGCTATTGTGATGGGTTTGGGAGGAAGGTAGAGGCTGGATCTAGAAAACTAAATATGCATATACACTATCTGAAGTAGGTGGAACAAGGAACTGTATGGAACACACAGGGGTGGAACTGTGGCCAGAACTCCAAAAAGAAACCACCAACCTGAAGGGTTGCCTCTAGGGAGGGAGGGAGTGGAAAGGGCAGTGAGTGGAGAAGCAGGAAGTATTAGGGTTTCAATAAGTCAGTACTTGGTGATTTTTTAAATTACTGTGCATGTATTATGCTGATAAAAATTCTTTTCAGATTTAGGTTCTAAAATTAGGGTTTGCTTATTCTGAAAACAGCAGCACTTGCTTACACATGTTTTCAACTTTTATTACAGGTAGGAGCAGCAACTGTAACCCTTGCATGAACTAAGGGTCCTTTAGATCTCAGCATTTATAAGAAGCCTCAGGAAAAAGCCCTCAGAACTACATGTAAGAATATCCAGCCGTTGCTTACCAAGAATCAGGCATATACTGCAGCCATTTGTGCTCAGGGAACAAGGTAAGGAAAGGAGATTAAGAAAAAACAGCCTTGGACAGCCAGAGGACTCAGGAGCTCAGTACCAAATCGGTAAAGAATAAAACGGGGACATTTAAAAGTATTTTTTCATCTCTTTGGCTATATAATATCACTGTCAAGGGAAAAAGCTACAAAGTCACAACTCTAATGCCAAATACCTGCTGCAGGGGGAAGGCTGCGACTCTGAAACACAGCCAAGTGGAGGAAGATTGGGCATCATCCACACTTACCATTATTCCAACTTATTGTGAGGGTGCTTTTGCTTTGTCTGTTTTTAATTTTTGTTTTTCGAGACAGGGTTCCTCTATGTAACAGCCCTGGCTGTCCTGGAACTCACTCTGTAGACCAGGCTGGCCTCTAATTCACAGAGATCCACCTGCCTCTGCCTCCCGAGTGCTGGGAGAAAAGGTGTGTGCCACCACTGCCCAGCTATGTGAGGCTGCTTTTGTGTTTCTCTTGGCAAATGAATCTTAGGAGGGTAGAGTGGTGCTGGCCGAGCTTGCTCTCCTCCCTCATTCCCTCCCCAGGACCCCCAGCCCCCTCCCCACAGAAGGAGTGCAGTTGAAATGCAATTACACAAAAGAGTAGAGAAAAAGATAACAGTGATGATGGGAAAACCAGGTTCATTAGAAACTTCTAAGCATTCAATAATCCTCAGGTGACAATGGTAATAAAAGCCAAGACTATGGATTTCTGATAAGACACATGAGAACACAGTGGGTTGAACCCATTATTTGGACAGAATTATACTGAAAGGAAAATTCGTACTGCTAAAAATCGCTTATAATTAAACAAAGAATTCCAGCATAAATGAGCTGAGCAATTGATAAAGAGGCTAGGAAAGCAGGGAGGTAGGAACCGCTTAATAGGCAAAGTTAGAAATTGGTGTGTTAAAAACAAAAGAAAGCTAACCATCACACTTAAGGCAGAGACTAAACTCTAGAGCTATTTTATAAAAAGTCGTGGCGCACGCCTTTAATCCCAGCACTCGGGAGGCAGAGGCAGGCGGATCTCTGTGAGTTCGAGACCAGCCTGGTCTACAGAGCTAGTTCCAGGACAGGCTCCAAAGCCACAGAG